GTGAAATTATAGCATCATCTCATTTTACCAAATAATATGTGAATTTTTTCTTGTGTCTTGAAGCGATTTCTTAAATATCTCCTCTCCTCCAGCTGAGTCACTACCTGGACGTAGTGGAGGTCAGCATCGCCCGGCAGATCTCGCTGCGCTCCGAGGCGTTCTTCCACGCCATGTCCTCACAGCACGAGCTGCAGGACCAGCTGCAGGAGACGCAGCGGGCGGTGGCCGTCCTGCGGAGCCGGACGGCGGCGATCGACCGGGTCATGTGCCAGGGGCCCCTCCGGGCCCTCCGTACCGCACTGACTCGCAACAACTGCGTGAAGCTGCACAACAAACTGAAGCTGATGGCGGCGGTCCATCAGACGCAGCCCACCGTGCAGCTGCTCCTCTCCACCTCTGAGTTTGTGGGAGCTTTGGAGCTCATCTCCACCACCAAGGAGGTGCTGCAGCAGGAACTGCAGGGAATCCACAGCTTCAGGTAGGAAAGCTTCTCATTAGTTATGCGTTAGGTGTGGATTTATTTATATTAGAGCTGCAGATTTATGCTTAAACAGTCAATAATTAGTATTAACCTTGCCCTGCCCCGCCTTGTGTTTGTCCCTCAGACATCTGGGCTCCCAGCTGTGTGAGCTGGAGAAGCTGATCGACAAGATGATGGTGGAGGACTTCAGCATGTATGCACGCAGCGACCTGAACCGAAGTCTAAGGGAGGAGCCGCAGGTGCTGGAGAAGGTCTGTCATCAACGCCTGTTTGCTTTAACTGACATTTATCCCTACAGCAGCTCAGCGTTCTTCACACCAAAGCTGTTCAGTTTCAAGGCCCCCCCTCACGCCTGAATTTCCCACTTAAATTCTGCCAAGCATCTATTTATTCTCTCGTCGTCTTTGAAAATATAAAAACTAAAAGAAGGATTTTAGGTCTGGCGTCTGCGCTCCAACTGATAAATTAGTCTGGCCTGTTTAGTTTATTCTGCTCTTTAGTTTTTATTATTTGAAGGTTTTCAAAAGTAGGTTGATTCTGTTTTTAATGGATGCTGTGCTCGTCACAGGTCCATCTAACAAATGCTGCTTCTCAAAAGGTGGGACACGCACACACACACACACACATATAGAGCTGATAAGTTGAATCAAATTCTTCCAATCCTTGAAATCTTCTGTGTCGCTGAAATCGGGCTCCAAGTTGGCGAATCAAACCTTTCCTGAAGATGATTCTCAGTGTTTGCATTGTGGGTGGAGCTAACTGCTGAGGGCAGAGCCAGTGCTCATCATAACATCCCTGATTGCTTTTCTTAAAATAAGTGCATTTTTTTTCTGTGGTTCTGGAGGTAAGTGAGACACTTTGCCAATAGAACAAGGCAATTTACATCTAAAATAAGAAAAAAGCAACTGCAGTCTCTTACTTCTAGTGCATAATATCTAATTATCTTATTTTAAGGGTAAAAAATGTTCCTTCCTTGGCAAATCGCCTTATTTTCTTGCTCAAATTAAGGGTAAATACACTTAATTTAATGATTTTTAATTTAATTTGATCTTTTAAAGATAATCCCAGCATGTATTGGTGATTTAAACATCCTCCGCTCTCATCGTCCTGCTCGTCGTTTATAGACTCAGGATCTCCTGCTTCTCTCTTGCATTCGAAGGAGCGTCTGGAGTCGCTGGTGTTCGGTCTGCTGCGGCAGAGGAAGCTGGACTTCCTGGATATCTACAGCGATGAGATGATCTCAGCTGCTAAGGCCATCGTCTCACAGGTATGACTGGTTTCTAACTGCATCTCAGACCAAAGTGTTCTTCTTTCTTTGATTCATTGGTGCTTTTTGTGTTTTTTTTTTTTTTGCAGTGTGTTGCAGACTGTGTTGTGCACATGGAGGAAATTGACACTGAAGTTATCGTTAAGTAAGTCATCTGATCTGTGCAAAGATTCTTTTAGCGTCTCTACCAATTAATTGCTTAAACTGACCCTAAATTGGAGCTGAATGTTTCTAGATCTATTAGGGAACTGCTGTCTAACTTATTACTGCATAAACGGCTCAAATATTTTATAAGAGCAATTTAGTAATCTGTAAAACTCTGGATTTAACAGTAAAGGTGAGTTTATTTACCTTTACCTAAGTAACATGAAGTGGCATTAAGGCAACGGAAATAAAGAGAATAAAAAAGGAAAATAAAATAAGATGATTCTATTCAAAGATATAATTGTGGATTTAAAAAAAGGAAGGAATAATTGCACTAAAAAGTTGAATTATGTTTGGATAGCACAGTCAAAGGACACTTTAAAGAAATATGTTTAACCTTTACAGTTTTCTGGGAGTTTATTTCAGCCTAAGAACTAAAGACTTCTTCTCCTTGTATGAATCTGGTTCTGGGTTTGGAGACGATATTGGAGCCAGAGGACCTGAAAGGTCTGGCTGTTGATCCACCGACAACAATCTGTAGTGCATTTTGGAGCAAAGCCACTCAGTGATGTATAGACTATTTTCAGGGATTCTGGGGGTCATTAAAAATCATTAAAAGTCATTAAATTATTATTTTTTTTAAATTAAGGCCTTAATTGGCATTAAAATTAATTAAATGTGATTATCGTGGCTTTTAAAAAGCTTTATTCAAAGAAAAAAAAAATACAAATTTTGTCAAATATATCAGATTTAGCTGGTTCCACGTGTTTGCGTGGAACTGCTCCTGGTTGATCCTAAGGCCATATGTTCGAAACAGAAGCTTAAGGCACAGAAAAAGCTAGAGAATGGGAAAATGCTAAT